CCCCGCCCCCGCGCGCCCCACAATAAGGAGTGGTCTGTTAACCTCACAGGCCTCTACTGAAACCAGTCGGATTTACACCTCTGGCCTTTTTCCTCAGCTCCGGAAAAGAGCTGAGATGTCTGCAAGATCACATTGGCCTTCTCTTCTTCGAAGCATAGAAGGGGACCAGGCCAAGTCCAAGTCACACCCCCGGGCAGGGCATCGTGGACTGCCCAGTCAGAGTAAACCTCAAACCACCTGGCAAAATAGTGATTATTTGGGCACATCTCCCTACACACATGTGCACATATGCAAACGTACACACACGTACACTCCAAACGCCCCAGCTCTGAGCACTGGGTACAGGCCGCTAAGAGGCGTCTAAAGAAAGCTTCTTCCCGCCCATCCACGCCTCTTTAGCAAAATAGTCGTGAGGTCCTGCCTTCACTGCGCTAACATCAATGCATCCGCCTGCGTCCTGTTTCACGTTAAGCTGAACCACCGGCCCTGAGCGCCCTTCCAACGCAGTCCCTATCACTTCACATTTGACAAAGGTCCAGAGTCCCATATCTACCAACACTTTGCGTTGTAACCTTGAACTAGTCCCCCTCCCTCTACTGGCCTCAGTTTGCGGATCTGTACAGGAATGGCGTACACTACCTGATTTTGAAACTCGAACCTAGGAGCGCAGAAAATTTGCTGATAGTCAGCACGTGTTCCAAGTCTCCCACTCAGACACGGGCTCCACGCGGGCACCAAGACCAAACCAAACGCCTTGCTGTGGAGTCCATTCCGACTCATAGTGACCTCATAGGACAGAATAGAGCTGCCCAATTGGGTTTCCAAAGAGCAGCTGGTGGATTCAAACTGGGATTAGTAGCCATCTCTTAACCACTGCCCACAGAGATACTAATTGCTGGGGATTTCAAGGCTAGAGCCTACTCTAGACACACACACACACACACACCATGAAATGGGTACTCTAACAGAAGCACCAGCTTGTGAAGCTGTGCATTGTAGAGGCTCTATGTGCTGGCCTCTGCCCAGCAGAAAAGACAGCAGGCCCTGGGATCCTTCCGGCCAAAGCCACCCAAACATTTGTCCCTATTTTGCTCCAGCCCCCAGCCAAAAGCCCCTGCTCACCCTCTCCATTCCTGTTTCCCAAGCCTTCTACCTTATACTCTTTGCAATGATCTACAAGAACCCAGGTGTTCTCCTCCTGTACACTATCCCAACTAGAGTAAACCAAAAGAACGCCCCCTTCCACCACCACACTCCCAACTCAACTCTGTGGTATCCGCCTTCCTCTCCAACCCCACGACAGAGCATTCTAGAATTTCTCTTTAGGGGTTTGCACCTCTATCTTTCTGAGATTGTGCACTGCCAGGGGAAGTTGTCCACCGAAAGTGTTTTTCTGGTTGTTTTCACCAGGTCGAAGCAAAGGACTGAGTCTTAAGAGTCAGAACTAGAATCCTGCCTTTGACCCTGCCACTTAGAGTAAGACACTTCCCCTCCCTTATCCCTACTGCAAAGTATTGGCCACCTGCTCTCCTAGGCCCAGGAACATCAAACCCAGCCATTGCTGAAATCTTGATTCTGACTCATAGCAACCCTACAGGATAGAGTAGAACTGCCCCATAGGGTTTTCAAGGCTGTAATCTTTAGGGAAGCAGGTTGCCACATCTTTCTCACCTGGAGTGGCTGGTGGGTTTGTATCACCAACCTTTCCGTTAGCAGCCAAGCGCTTAACCACTTTACCACCAGACCCAGCACTGGAGGGTAAATCAGATGGACTTGGTATCCAGGCTGTGACGCATAAGAGCTGTGTGATTTGGGCAAATCCCTTCCACTCTGTGATCCTCGGCTTCCTCATCTATGCCATGCCCCTAGTTGTAATGCCTACCTCAAAGGCTTGTCTGTGAGTCTCCTTTTCCTCATCTGAGCCATGCCCCCAGTTGTAGTACCTACCTCAAAGGCTTGTGAGATTTCACTGAGATGATGTGTGTGGAGCACCCAAGGCCAGATCTAACTAGGAAAGGATTAATAAGGATAGCCTTTCTAAAATAAGGAAGTTACTCTCACACAGCCCATCCAGAAAGAGATCTGTGGGAGGCGTAAGCTCAGCTCTCGCCTTCCTGAAACCAGGCAGTGGAGTTAAGACAGCTGTAATCATTGCTGTAGCTAATGGAGACCTAATGTCAGCCTGTCCTGCTCTCCCAGCACCGGGGGGTGGTGATGTTTGTAAATTAAGGTAACAGAGACAGAAATCAAGTTTTTAACACAAACAGAAGCAAGTGAGATCAAATACCAACATAGTCCTTGGTCTCCACTTGGGAGGGACTCAGTGGAGCCACTGCCCTGATCTCCTCATCAGCTTTTGTGGCTTCTGTGCCACCCAGTCAACCTGAGCAAGTCCCTGGGGGCTTTACTTGGCTAGGACACTTGGCCATTGTTCCAGAGGGGAGAGTTTGATACTTTCATCCATAAATAAGTGCATTTATGAGAATGGTGCTCCCTTTGCCTATCTGTGAAGGCTGTTATGAGAAATTAGATGCTGTTTGTGGACTCTGCAAATCGTCCCACACATATCAAGGGTTGCCTTTTCATTTCTTCAAATTAACATCATTCAGGCAACAGTCTGTCCTGTGATGAGGAGGGCAAGACACTGACCCCTTTGGTGTGCACTACCTAGAATATATACATTGCAGAAAATGAGGTTTCCCTTTTTCCTCCAACACCATAAAGGCCTTAATTTCTACATCTTCAGGCCCCTTTGCTGTATCAGAGAATCCTGGAGTTGGACCATACTTTGGATTAGACATATCTACATTCAACACCAGGATATGCAGGGGGAGATGGCTTTCCTAGTGCCAAGCAGAGAGCTGCTGCCCTGGAGACCTGAGGACATGGTACCCTGAGTCTCCTGCCACCTTCATTTTCACTCCCAGCTGAAGGCCAGGGCAGTGCCATCTTTGCTCAAATGCTATCCTCAAGCTCCAGATTTGCGCACTTTTTCTCTTTGGAAAGGGGATATGCTTGTCCTCCTTTAAAAAGCTCCATCTGTGCTTTCTGAGGGGAGGAGGGGATCACAAAAGTGAAACTATGTTTTCCGCTGAATGCATCATATA